AATTATATTTTCCCTTATGTTCTTTGCATATATGAAATACATCACACTACTCTTTTTTCCTTTTAAAAGAATACTTATGTTACATAGCTAGGGAAGACCAGCAAAAAGAGCAGTAATGATAAAGAATGGGTAGTTAAGAATGCTAGTTTTAAAGTTTTGTAAGATAAAAAATATTGGATGCAAGAAATTCTTCAGCTTTTTTTGGAGTTTTGAGGAGGAAAAACATTGCAAAAAAGGAATTAAATTAAATCCACAAGATTGCTAGGGAGAAACAAAACTTGCATGTAGACTGTGATCCCACAATTGTAAATATGAGAATTTATATATATAAACAAATAGAAAATTAAACTAAAGAAATATATTGTAAAATGTTAACCATATTTCTCCCTAGGTAGTGAGGATTATAGATTAGTTTTTATTTTTATTCTTGTATTTATTGAATTTTCATAATAAAAATATTGCATTTATAATGGGAAAAAATATAAATCAATAATCAAATTAGGATCATCATCTTTAGTCTCAGAAGCAATAGTTCCAAGATCTATTACTATAAGAAGGAAGACAGTGACAAGTTTTATCATGAAATATATTTTGTCTGTTCTTATTGAGATAATATCATTTCTTTTATTTATTTTTTTTTTTGCGTTGGAGTCTCACTCCGTCGCCCAGACTGGAGTGAGTGGCCGCTCATGACCACCGCAGCCTTGACCTGCTGGGCTCCGGCAATCCTTCCGCCTCAGCCTTCCGAGTAGCTGGAACTACAGGTGCGCGCTACCACGCCTGGCTAATTTTTTGATTTATTGTAGAGATGAGGTCTTGCCAAGTTGCCCGGGCGGATCTCGAACCCGCGGGCTCAGGCAATCCACTCACCTCAGCCTCCCAAAGCGCGGGATTACAGGCTGAGCCACTGAGCCTGGCTGATAATATAATTTCCATACTTAAAAATAAAAAAGAAGGAAGACAGACTTCATCGATGCAGATGCTTAACCCAGACTCACCTCACAAACCTTACTGCTATAGGTCTTTGAGCCATCTGTGCAGGTCTTCTTTATTAACTCCTGTACCAGCTTCAATTTACTACTGTTCTTTCTTTTAACCAACTTTATTGTGGTACAATTTACACACAATTTAAATGAGCATATTGATGAATTTTAACAAATGTATAAACACGTATATTGAAAACAAGTTATGCAATGTTTCCATCACCACAGAAATTTCTCTCTTTTCAATCAATTTCTCCATCCTCAAAGCAGACAATCTGCCACCACATTACTTTTGCCTGTTCCAGAAATTTATGTAAATGGAATTATCTTCTGATTTCTGTTTTTGTCTTTTTCATTCAGTATGTTTAGATATTCACCCACACTATTGCATTTATGAGTAGTTTGATAGAGTATTCAATTGTAGGAATACACAACAATATATCCATTTACCTGTGAATTAACATTTAAGTTATGTTTATTTTTTGGCAATAATGAATGAAGTGTCTATAAAGTTTGTACAATTTTTTTGTGACTAAATATTTTAATTTTTATTGAGTAAATATTGACGCCAAGATGGTTTAAATGACAAGTGGATGATTAACTTATATAAAGAAACTACCTGTTTACCAAAAAGATTGAACCATTTTATAATCCCACCAACAACCAAAGAGTGTTCCACATTTATCATTATTAGCTGTTTTCAGCTTTTATAATAAAAGCCATTTAAGTAGGTGGGTCTTAATTTGCACTTTCCTGATTACTAATGATGTTGAACATCCGTTTATACACTTACTAGAGATTCATACTTCTTATTATTGAGTGTTAAGAGTATTACTTATTTATATATGTGTACACATATACACAAACACATATGTACACATTCTGGATAGAAGAATTTTGTTAGTATATGTATGGCAACTATTTTCTCATATTCTGAGGCTTGTTCACTCATTTTAATATGGATGTCTTTGAAACAGTAGATAGTTTTCATTTTAAAGAAGACCAATGTTTACTGTTGGTATTTTAGGTTAGTACTTTTTTGGTTCCTATCTAAGAAATCATTGTCCTCCTCTTGTTCACAAAGATTTTCTTCTTCTTTTTTTTTAAACTAAAATAAAGTTGTAACTTTCATGTTAAAGTCTACCATCAACTTTGAATCAACACTACACATGATGTTAAGTAGGACTGACATCCTTTTTTCTTCCACACAGGTATCCAGATATTCTAGTACCATATGACAAATTGACTATCTTTTCATCTTTGAGTTATATTGGTAGCTTTATTGAATCAATTGGCCATACATGTATGGGTTTATTTCCAGATTCTTTATTCTGCTTCAGTGATTTGCATGATATACATTCTGCCCAAAACATACTATCTTGATTTCCAAACCTTTATAGTAAGTTTTGAAATGAGGTAGTGTAAGTCTACCCAATTTGTGCTTTTTCAAAACTGTAACTTCATTGCTTTGTAGTTTTCATTTATACACATTTTGTTTAAGCTGTTACTAAATATTTATGGTTTTACAAGTTACCGTTTAATTTTTCCTGATTGTTCATTTCTAGTATAATATATAAATACAATTGATTGCTATACATTGGCTGCATATTCTGTGACCCTGAAAATTCAGTTATAAATTCTACCAATTTTTTTGATAGATTTCTTAGGATTTTCTTTGTCTTGAGTCATATAATCTGGAAAAGTAGAGCTTCCTTCTTTTGTCCCCAATATTTACACCTTTCTTTTCATTTTTACTGCCTCATTGTACTGGTTGACTATGATCTTCAGTACAATATTAAATATAAATAGTGAGAGTAGACATCCTTGCCTTGTTTTCAATTATGAAGAGAAAACATTCAACTTTCATTAAGTGCAATGTTAGCTGTAGATTTTTTAATAGATAATCTTTCAGATATTAAGATGTGCCCTTAAGATGTCAATAAGCATTTTGATTGATAGGACATCTTTTATTCCTTTCTTTGAGCACATTATAAATATTGTTTCATTGTCTTTTGAATTTGCTTTTCTGATGTGAAATCAGTTACTGATCTCAACATTTTTCTTGTGCAATGCAGTTTTTCCCTCCAACTGATTAAAAATTATTTTCTTTATCTCTGGTTTTCAACAATTTTCATATGATATCCCTAGTCTTATATTTGGTTTTTTGTTTGTTAGTTTGTTTTTTGAGTTGTAGTCTCACTCCATCACCCAGGCTGGAGGGCAGTAGCATGCTCATGGCCACCCCAGTGTCGACCAGCTGGGCTCCGGTGATTCTGCCTCAGCCTTCCAAGTAGCCAGAACCACAGGCGCACACTACCACAACTTGCTAATTTTTTATTTATTGTAGAGACAAGGTCTCACCAAGTTGCCTGGGCTGGTCTCGAACCCGTGAGCTCAAGCAATCCACTTGCATCGGCCTCCTAAAGTGCTGGGATTACAGGCTGAGCCACGGAACCCAGCCTATTTGTTGTTTTTTTATCACTGAATTATGTTGGTAGCTTTATTGAAAGTCAGTAAAACTATCTGGGGAATTTTCCTCCATTGCATCTTTAAATAATTTTTCTTACCTATTTCCCTCTCCTTTTCTGAGACTATGAAGGCACAGTCTTACTGTTTTCTCAGATAAATGCTAGTAGTAATGACAAAGTATCACCAGATTACTTCACTCTGTGACTTGAATTTGCTCAATTCCAAGTATCCTTTAAAAATCTGAACTCCACAGCAGTGACACTCTTAATTTGGGCAGTCTCTACGTGTATATATTCAGACCAGCCCTTGTCAAGTTTTCACAGAAGATCTGTACATTCACTCCTTAGCACAGGGCTTTCATCTCTGGCGTCCTCAACAGGACACCTGTACTCTACCTGAATTCCAGTTTGCTGTACTTGACAAGAAATTGTCTCTAGGCAAAAAACTGAGTTGACTGTGAAACTTGCCTAATACATTTTTCTTCTTTCAGGAATTGCAGTCGTTAAAAAAAAAAAAAAAAAAATAGAGACAGAGTCTCCCTATGTTGCCTGGGCTGGTCTCGAATTTCTAGTCTCATGTGATCTTTTCATCTTAGCCTCCATAGTCACTGGGATTACAGGAGATACTGCAAGCTTGTACTGCTCAGTCTTCAATGACTAAAAGCAGTTGCCTCGTATTTTCCAATTTTACGATTGCTGAAGTCCAGTATCAGTAACACCTATATAGCTAAAAGTGGAAGTCTAGAGGAAGTATATTCTTGTGTAGAGATTTTTTCAACTTTATGAATTATTATTAGGATTGTTTTACTATAATTTATTAACAAAAAACTACCACGAATTCAATAATTTCATTTCAGAAAATCACATTGAAGTATGTTACTGTGCTTTCCGTGACGTGAAATGCTAACACTTTTGATGACTAAAATTAAATTGTTAATGCACAATGAATTATCATTCAGGTTTTTAACAGTTCTAAGCAAAACAAATTCATGAGTAAGTACTAATATGGAATACTCACTAAATTATACTGTTTACATTATTTTCTCCTTATATTTACAAAATATATATACTTAATGCTATTATTACAAATGTTTGTGAGTAGTATATTCATAATGCAGGTCATAATTAATTAGCTAAAAACAATTGAAACTGTTTTCTCACATGGAACCTGAAAATTTGTCAATTGCTGAATCTTACATATTAGGTTACTTTATATGGTGATGAATGAAAAAATATAAAATGTAGGTTCATAATTGTGAGACTCCATGAAAATTCAGGATAGATTTAACTTATCATCATCAGTGGCTATTCTTTTAACACCAAAAATTTAGGTTAAATTTTTGTTAAAAAACTGACCACATGTTTTGTTAATATGCTATCCCATATTTGACTGTCCAGGAATTAGTTATTATAAATTGAGGAAGATGATTTAACATCATTATGTCAAAAAAGTTTTGGAACACGAAATCTAGAATATCAAGTAATGAATGTGATCCACAGCATGACCACTGAATTAGGAATGCCATTTATTTAGCTTTAGAAAATTTACCTTGTTATAAGTATAGCTGCATCCACTGAAGTCATGTCTTCCCCCCAACTTGTTGACATCTCTAAATGTATATCATTTTTTTTGCCAAATTCTTCATATTGCCACTTACAAAAACTTTCTAACATTTTCTCTCCATGGTGCCCAATATATAGGTCTGCCTGCAAAAGAAGAGATTTCATTTCAAATCAAATTATTCTTATATACACAAAAAATTAAAAACTTAGGGAACTTCTTGAATTACTAAAGCAGACTAGTGACCATAACATGAATTAGAACCAGGAAAACATTCGGGATTAATATACTCTGAGTTAAAAATCTTAAAGCTTTGAGAAGATGCAATAATTACAGAATCTATTTAATGATATTCTGAAAAAGAGGTGCAATGGAACATTAAAAATGTGGAACTTTTAGACTTAAATCACTCATTAGTTCTACAGTGTAAGAACAAAGGCTTTCTAATGTTCCAGTTAAGCAGAATGCCAAAATGATAGCACGGAATACTCTCCATTTTAAACAAATTAGATTTTAAAAAAAGTTATTAATATAAAAGTATATGTTTAAATAAGAGAATAAAACTATCAATTACAATCATAACTTTTTAAAATTGCATTTTGGAAAGTTAAGGTTTGCCATCAAGAATCCTCAGAAGGTTCTCATTTTTCAAATAAGAGTGAGATAGTAGCCAATACTAAAGGCCAGTTTTATGTACACATTAAGTGGACATTTCTAGATTTCCAAGTCAACAGAAGTACATCCTTTATATTACCTTTACTTAAAAGTCTCTGAACAAAGTTTCTCACCCACTTAACAAATAAAAAACTCAAGACTTTCTTACTGGAGTTTCATGGAGCAGAATAAGCTTTATCACACGAAGATTGACCTGCACACCAAGACTCTTGTGTTGGAAAAGATTAAAAACCTGAAAAAAAAAATTTAAAAATCCAAAAATGAAAATGGAAAACATCTTAATTTTTCTTAAGGCCTAGTCATGGGAGAAGTCCCAATTTACTTGAGAAATCTTATTTTTCTAAAAAGCTAGAAAGCAAGGTAATTTTTAAATGTGGTACCATGATTTAAAAAAAAAAAAATTAGTACTCATTTACTTTGTATTAGAAAATATATAACCAGCATAGCAAAATCATGCTTTCAGAGATATTACTAGTTAGAAGAGACTAAAGGCATTAGGCTGTGTTAGTCTACCCTATGTTGAATACTAGTGGAGTGCTCAGGAGGTAACCGAATATGAACAGAAATGTCTGAAGTGTGAAAAACTTTGTCCACTAGAAAATCAATCAAATGATAGCAAAAATAGTAAAAACTGAAATACATTTATCCTTAAATCAGAGGCTCTTACCCTGCCTTAAATGGTAACTAAAATTTGCCTTTGTCTTTTATTTCTGTTTATTCTCTTTTATGAGCCACTCTTTATTACAACCTTCTGACTCTTTCTTAAAGAAAGTTTATCCAACAGAGTATGTAATAAAATTAAAGGATTAATTTGGTAGTAAGATTCCCTAAGATGGTACGTATAAATGAAATTTCTATAACCCAGAAATCATCAACCAAAGTTAGCCACCCGTAATTCAGCTGGTTAAAATTTTAGCTATTAGTTATTAGGTTTTATTCATCAACCATAATTATATCTGATATCTAATTTTATGTACCTAAATAAAAGCTCAGTGGATTACCAACATCCATTTTTATCCCACCTCATAATCGTAGTCATTTTGATGGGGCCATTCATATAAACAAATATTATAATATTTCTGCTAATCTCAACAAATGGTTTCTTTTTTTATTTTTTGTTTTTGTTTTTTTGGGTTTTTTTGAGTTGGAGTCTCACTCCGTCGCCCAGACGGCAGTGCAGCGGCCGCTCCCGGCCACCGCAGCCTCGACCTGCTGGGCTCCGGCGATCCTTCCGCCTCAGCCTTCCAAGTAGCTGGAACTACAGGCGCGTGCTACCACACCCGGCTAATTTTTTATTTTATGTAGAGATGAGGTCTCACATGGCTTCTTTTTTTTAAAAGGGCATAAATAAAAGAACAAATAATAAGAGAGACTTTTGCCACATCAAAATTAGCAAGAAGGGCACTGTTTTCTTTTGCTAGTAGATGTAAATCATTATTTTAATATAGCTTTTGAGATAGATGAATTTGATATAGCCAAAGTACTTTTTACTGATGTCAATAAAAGAAAGGAATAAGTTAGTTTTTAAAGAACTTCATTATAAATACTCACACATTTCTTCCTTAGAGTTTTCTTGAAAAAATTCCAAGCGCACTTTAAAGTTTGCCTACCATATTTAAGATGGTTAGAATGAATCTCCTGGCTGCATCTGCTCCATGATAGGAAACCATTGCTGGGTCTGCAACCACTACAGTCTCTATGTTGTATTCTTGAGGTAATTTGTATGAATATCGTTTCCCTCTTCCACTTTCTGATATTTTTTTAGACCTAGGTCTTCCTTTATCTGCAACAGAGAATTGAATTTTTAAATGCACCTCTATATGGGCAAAGTGAATATATTAACACTTCATAATGGTAAGCAAAATGCGATAAGTTCCTTGCACACATGGAATCTCAAAGGGCAATTGATTTTGGAGTATGACATTAAAATCAGACAAAATGAACTTCTGTCACTTAATAGCTCTGCCATTTTAGGAAACTAGCATCTCCTAGTCAACCTCACTTTTCTTATCTGCAAAATAGATAAAAATAACTCCTACGATCTAAAGTTGTTGATGGCTTATAAAATCACATTAGTAAAATTTCAAGTAATAAGCTCCATATAAACAAAATAACTCAATAAATAAAATACAGTACTATTTTCTTTTTTATGCCAGTATCAGAATAAAGTTCTGTCTGCAAAAAGTACCTGAAGTGATTGCCTCAAATGTCCTCATTTCAGGCAGATGCCCTTGATTACTAAATTATTATGCATGGATTATAAAAGATTTGGCTCCATATTCCATCAGGAGCTCATAGAACTTACAACTTTAGGGCAACATAGATTTCTCAAATAGAGCCAAATAAAAGCAGTAACCACAAACAAAAAAATTTATAAATTTGACAACATAAAAATTAATAATATATTTATCAAAACATGCCTCTATCAGAGTGAAAAGCATGCCACCCTAACTGGGAGAAGATATTTGCAATACTTTTCCAGAATAAAGAAATATAGAGCTACTCTGAATCAATAACATTCTAATTCTATATATATTCTATATATTTCTATATTCTGATCAGGGAGGTAGCTCATGGTTTTATGTTCACTTTGGAAAAATTAAGCAGTTGAGCAACATATTATTTGTGCAAATTTCTGTGAACATGTGGTGCTTCAATAATAAATTTGTGATTTTAACAGCTTTATTGAGGTACAGTTTACACTCCACAATATGTAGCCATGTAAACGTACAATTCATTCATTTTAATAAATTTTAATAAATAAATCTGCACGATCTACTGTTAAATCAGTTTTCACTTCTTCCTCTCCTTACCATTTGCCAAAATTCTATTGCTGTCTTTAAATTACTATCATCTGTTTTCCAAAACTTGTACTTACTGACATATTTTATATTTATTTAATTTCGGTGGAGTTCCTAGGAGTGTAAATGGAAACATGTGTTTTCAATTAGTCATATTTCCCTGGATGTTGCCAACTGACTCTGAATTCAGGGATATGTTTTCTCATAGTGCTAGTTCATCTTCTTGGTTTCTGATAAAATCCTTAAGTCTCGTTCTGGGTGCAATTGACAAGCTAAATTGTCAATTCAATGCTGTTATATTCTATCTCACTAACTACATAGTCCACCTTTCATTGCCTTCAAACATGTTTTCACGGTTGCAGGATTAATCTACTTCGGAAGTCTTGACCTACTAGTTTTCTATTACTGGCTTCTAGGCCCAGCTGGGTCAGGTCAACTCTGAGATCTAACATGAACTGGATCCTACCACCATTGCTGGAAACTTCTCTGGTCTAGATGATCCCCATAAATTACTGTTTCTCATTTTTCCTAGAAATGACAAAGATTAAAAATTTACTTAATGAATCAAGTTTTACCCAAATATTACATACAGTAAGAGAACTAAGTTAACTGAAGTGTTATGAAAATAAATGCTAACATTCTTTGTTTATATCAAGGAACAAGATAATGTAAGATGACAAAAACAACAGTAGCCATCTGAAACATAATCACTGAAGTTAAAAGTGTACTTGATGGATCCTGATTTTGTGCCAGCGGTTAATACCAAAGACCTTGATCAAGGACACAATAAAAAATTGGTTTTATTCGTATCTTGAAGTCTAAGACACTTAGGAATTGATCATATGGTTTTTCCAATTGTGATATCAATTCTACTTATAATTATACATTAGTATCTTATGATATACATTTATGGTAAATATTTAGTAGAGAACAGTCTTCCAAGTATCAGAAGAAACTCATCTTGGCAGGGTCAACACCTGATAAGCTAATCTCTAATTATTATCTGTCGATCTATCTATCTATCTATCTATCTATCTATCTATCTATCTATCTATCTATGCCTGGCACCATGTTTTTCTAGATAGATATGTCACTGGCCTTGAAATAAAACAAGATATCTATCTATCTATCTATCTATCTATCTATCTATCTATCTATATATGCTTGGCACCATGTTTTTCTAGATAGATATGTCATTGGCCTTGAAAGAAAACAAGAATATAAAAAACTCTGAGTACTATCCAGCATATGTTCAACAAGTGTGACAAGTAGTAGCGTCCCACTAGTCCCAGCTTCTGCTAAGCCAATGAGATTAATACAGATGCATCCCATAAATAAAATGTGGCACCTCCTTCTACCTAGATACTTTTCCCACATTTTCTTGCTTTACCTTAGTTATCACCTTTCCATCCTCAGGGGGTTTTAAGTAAGATGTTATAGTAGATATTATTGAGTATCCATCAACATATTCTCCTTTTTTCTACTTTAGTATAGAAAACCCCTCTCTAAACATATAGCCCTTCGTCGTTTTTTTTAGCTAGGTGTTGGTTAGACAACCAGAAACATTTCTCAGCTTGCTATTCAACTGGGTGTAATTATGTGACTAAGTACTGAGGAAGAGAATATGAGCAGAACTGGTATGTACAACGTCTGGGCCTCTCTCTAAGAGAAAATTGCTTGTCTCCTACCTTTGTTCCTTTATTCCATTGGCTAGAATCCAGACAAAGTGTGGTGAGCTGAGGTGGACACAGCAAAAGGTAACACTCTGGGGAATGGCAAACTATAAGACAGAAGGAATCTGGGCTACTGGATGATGTCAAGGGTCAGAGAGACCAATTCGCTCTGGCCCACCTGCACACCTCTGAACTGTAAAATACTGGAGAAATAAACTATCTTATTTAGACCATTGTGTTTTGAGGGTTCTATTACAGCAACTTAGCCTATACCATAACTAACACAGACAGTTCTTAATCGCCTTTCAGTTGGAGTAAGGAGCTGCCTGTGAATTCCTTATTAAAATCCCCTCAAGTCATGCTTCAAACTACTTGCTTAGTTATCTCTAGAATCACAGTAGGAGCTCCACAAAAGTAAGGATAGAGTGTTTCCACTGCTTAATACAAGCCACATGATAAGATCCATTAGTGAGTATTAAAAGAATGACTCTGGGTATAAATGTAGCACTAAGGTAATTTTATATATTTAAAATATTGTAGCTTGAATATTACCAGATGATTTGTCAACTATAAAAAAATCCTTATCTACATAAAATAAAAAATTCCAGGAACATATTTTGTGTAATATTTTATAGATTGTATAATTTTGTAACCACTCAAGAACAGGTAGACCAACCATCCGTCTCCCAAGATCTCTCCCAATTTTTCCTTCCTCCCCTTGCTCACTCTATTCCATCGGTACTAGAAAGCTCACTGTTAAGGATTTGGGGGTTAACTGTTCTTTTGTCCAAAGCACACTTATTCTAGATGTGTTTCTTACTTTTCCTCTATTAAGGAGCCTTGCTAACCACTTTCTATAAAAGAAACTTGTTCTGTCTCAGTTGGCATATCTAATCTCCCTATCTTGCTTAATTTCTCATCAGGGCCTATACTAGTGCTAGTCAATAGGCATTCAGTAGAGTCACTGAAATAATGTTTTTATTTCCCCTGCTTTAAAAGTGTTAAAACTTACCTTAACTGATATTTACTTAACAGCTCTCAATTAATTTCTAGTCTCAAGAAAAAAAATCCATTTCAACTACAAAAAGAAGGTACTGTTTTACTATTGCCAAAATTACATTAAAATGGTCAGAACTTCAAAAGGGATTGACACACTATAATCAATCACTTTCTGTAAATAACATGTACAAAGAACTGTTAGAATCATTTTTATGAAAGACCAGATTAGAACTATAAAGTTATTCCTTAAACATGAATAAGATAAACTCTTTTTTAAGAGAGGTGATATCATTATATCATTTAAAATATGTCCAGTAAACCATTCTAATAAATTAAATTTAAATGTATGACCTAAAAAAGTTAAACTAGAAAGTCTCGAAACATGCATCAACAAACTTGTGATTTTTATAAACAGAAGGATAGAGGAGTCAATTTTTTTTTTTTAAGTGAGCTTTCTAGTACAGGTCCACCTAAACTTTATGACACTAACAATCTAAGTAGAGTCTTTAAAACAGGTTTCTGTGGGCAAAATGCATAGACACAAATCTTGGCTCTGTCACTTACCAACTTCAGGACTGTGAGTCAAAAACTTAATCTGTTTTTGCTGCTGTATAGATAGCAATTACATATGAATAGGGATATGTGTACGTGTATATGTAATGTATTTAGTGCAATGTCTAACATATTAAATGTGAACTGCATATTGGCTATTATGATGAATTTTGTAATACATTAACAAGAAGTGTGCTTTCAGATAGCTATATTGCATTTTATCTCTAAGTAGGTACATGCACACTTACATGAATCAGATAAACCTAGGCATATACTCTATGCTCTCAGTAAAATTTTGACTTTAACAAACTATTGCACTTTTATTATCAAACAATTAACTAAAACCTAGAGTAAATAATCACTGGTCATATTAAAAGTGCTGTTTGACATTCAGAACCCAAGAAAATTCCTAGGGCAACTATTTTGTTACCCAAATAGTTAATCTAATAAAGCTATAATCTGCATCAAATTTCCTCCCTTCTAGGATGTTTTCCTCTGCAAAAGAGAAAAATAGATTGTATTATGGGAAGCTACAAAATAGAAAGGTTAGCACTACAGTCTCATTCACACTGTCACTGGAATAACTTCATGAAGTTCAGAAAAGGGACAGACAAGGGCATGGGGTTTGCATTACAGGAGAAAGACAATAGGCAAGCTTGCACTTAAACCTGACTTTGGGTTCTGAACTGTGAAGGCTGCAGCAGGCATGGGGGGAAAATCAGATTTGAAATTGTTGTGATTTAATAAAACAATTTTAC